AAGACTCAGTATTTTGTCCCTAAATTTGTCTGTACCGTTAATGCCATTTTATTCATAATCCTAAGAGGTTTATGTATGTAATTTGACAGGCTAAATTGAAATCTATGTGAAAAATGTACAGTCAAGGAAAACCAAAAATTGAAGAAAAAGAACAAGGTAGGAAGATTTGTTCTATCAGGTAATCAGAACTTTGAAACTCTAGTAATTAAGACTGCCTGGTATTGAGTACAATAGTAGATTCTGGAACAGATGAAGAACCCTGAAACAAATCTACAGATATTTAATGTAGGACAAAAATAGCCCTTTTAGAGAAGTGAAGAAAGGACATTTTAGTAAATGTTCCCAGGAGAATGACTGCTCATAGGGGGGAAAAGTGTGATTCCTACCTCACACCATGTATCAATTTTAAGTAGGTTATGGATCTGAATGTGAACAGCAGCCACTAAAAAGAAAGAAATATCTCTAGAAGAAACTTTAGGAGAATACCTTTCTGACCTTAAAATAACAACAAAAAAATAATGATAAAGGAAAAGAATGTACATTGTTTCTAGCTTACTATACAAGAAACAAGAACCTGTTATCATCCGAAAGAAGACAGTGAGAAGACAGCCCATATTCCGAATAAGACACTTTAAAACCACGTAACTGACGGTGGGCTTGGCTCACTAACACATAAAGAATGCCAACCAAGCACTAAGAAAAAGATGACCTCATTGAAAAGTGGACAAAAGAATTGAATCAGCGCTTCACAAAAGCATGTCTAACTGACCAATGAATCGAAAAGTAGGTGCTCCTTCCAACTCCTCGGTGAAGTATGTTACACAACACAACAAAGCCTCCAGAATGGCTAAACAAAGAACGACAACTCTGACCTACTGTTGGTGGGTGTGTAGCTTTGTGGAATCACTTTGGGAAACTGTTTACACATGGTTTGCTTGTTTTTTAGTTGAAGGCACATGCTACTTGTGACCCAGAAATTCCACTCTAACCTACATGGCATTCATATGTGCACCCAAATATATGTACAGAAACAGTGTTAGCAATGCTACTTGTAACCAAAAAACTACTAAGCCCAAAAGGGCAGTGTTGGAGTTGTCCAGCACCTGAGGTCACATTCTCACACACAGCTGGCCTTCTTGGGAATCCATTGACAGTAACATCGTCACATCCCCTTCAGTTCATGAGTTGGTAGACGTGCCCTTGCCCTTGGAGCTTATGATCTGAGAACACATCATAACACAGGATTTCTGAAACAACCTCTGGAGAGAAGGTGCTGCCATAAATCAGCTCTTTCACTGAGATCACAAACTACCTCCCACAGGAGATGAAACCTGTCTCTTGTATGTATCTTCATCTTGAACTTCCTCCTCCCACTGAGTGTGTGTGACGTCACTAGTTCTCAGATCTGTTGACAGCCCGTGAGCAATGCTCAGATGCTCCTGTTTGTGGGATGTTCCTGCCATCTCTAGTAGGTGCTCAGATTCCAGGACTACGAGACTATGTAAATTATGAAACACAAGTATAATAGAATTCTATATGGCAGTGAAAAACGAGCTCTGGTAGTATAGTGGTTACAGGTTGGGCTGCTAGCCTCAAGGTCAGCAGTTCGAAACTATCAGCTGTTCCGCGGGAGAAAAATGAGGCTTTCTGCTCCCATAAAGATTTATAGCCTCAGAAACCCCGTGCAAGGTCCTTGTGAGTCGGAACCGACGCCAAATAACCACCATATGGCAGTGAAAAGGAGCTAACTACTGCTATATACACTAAACGTTAGTGTTGTTACGTGCCTTTGAGTCGGTTCTAACTCACAGCGACCCTGTAAAGGGTTTCCAAGGAGCAGCTGGTGAGTTCAAACCCCCGACCTTGCAGTCTAGTGCTGCCACACCAGGACGCCAACTGAATATAGTACAGGCTGAAAAAGTCAGACACAAAGTGGTCCAACTGTTAACTTTTTGTACATTTCAAAAATCGGGGAAACTGACTTGCACTATAAGGAATGCTTATTTCCGTGATAAAAATATAAAGAAGAATAAGTAAGTAGTTATCATAAAAATCAGATTAGTCAAATTTCTCCTCGTGGAAAGGAGGGGATTATGATGGGAAAAGGGCAGATAGGCTGCTTCTGAGGGGCCGGTTGTATTGTTTCTCCAGGTGGATGGTGGTCACCGTAGGGTGTGATTTATGCTTTTCTGTATATGTTTGTCAGGCGTGTTTATGTGTGTGTATATTATGTATGTGTATGTATTTGTCAGGCGTGTTTATGTGTGTGTATATTATGTATGTGTATGTATTTGTCAGG